GCCCGGGTGCCGGGCCGGCCCGGAGTCGCGCGGGGCGGAGCCGTCCTTGGCCACCACTTCCTGAGAGCCGGGGATACCCCTCCCGGACGTCACGGAGGAGCCGGGGCGGCGGTGGCGGCCCGGGGCTCATCCTGCACTTGCATCACGGGTGCAGCAGCAGCTGCTCGGCTCCTTGGTGGCTTTTTTCCCCCCCTGTTGAGTAACTACTTTGTTAACTGAAAATACCGTGACGGGCCAGTGTGATCACCAGCTCCAGACCTCAAAGAAAGTGAAGCTGTCAGGCAAGCGGAGGGGAGACTCCCCCAGCCGGCTGCGGCGGTATCTGGTGGGTGGGTGGGTGTGTTAAGAGAAGCACTTGACAGTTTCCACGTATTACTTCTTGCCTAACTCTGCACCCTCGAGAAGGTTTAAAAATACTTTTTATTTCCATGCTGTCAACAACAACAACAACAAAAATCTCATCTGTGTTCTGCACACCACCCATGCCTCTACCACCCTCTTCCCCCTTTCAGTCTCAGCCATCTCGGGCAGAACTGGGATCAGCGCGAGCCCTAAAATTAGGGATTCACTGCGTGGTTACTGGTTTCTAACGCCTTGTGCATCAGGGTCGTTATAAAGTTATTAACCGAGTTTGTTCAGGAGAATTGGGCTCCTTCGGTGAATTTCAAACTGGTATCAATGTTTACCTTTAAAAAAAAAATCTGCTCCCTGGCGGCTGAGCATAACCGGTAAAGAAAGCATTTCTCCCTTTGCATGGAGTGAGTCCCGGGGATCTCTGTCCGGGCTACTCCTGGGCCTCCACCCCCCCCACCTCCTTCTGTCCTCCTTTGGTAGCTTTTCCTTCCTCAGTGTCTGCCAGGTGCACAATCTCAGTTCCTTGGGGGTAGTTTGACCTGCTGAGCCAGTTGCTGGAATGGGTTCTTTTGGATCGGAAGGCGTGGAGAACCCTGCAGGTCCCTAAGTATGTATACTCTTCCGGTGACCCAAACGAATTCATTTTTACCTATTTTTTTTAAAAACAGTATCAGTTCACCTCTAACTTTTCTAAAGTCATCGGGCTGTTTTTCTAAAATCATTAGAAATTGAGTATATTCTGTGATGAGGCACAGATGACAGGTTTAGTTGTCGAAATCACTTTTTGGTGACTTTTTCAGGTGAAATTCGAGACTTCATAGTAAATCTCTTCCTTTGGGAAACCAAAATTGAAGAAGACTATGTTAATTTGTGACATAATGAAAACTTTACTACTGCCCCCCCCCTTTTTTTGAAGGGCCATTCATGTGTAGTTGACACACACCAAATAAAGCAATTTTGGCTCTGAGGGCAGAAAAATCTTAAAAATTGGCTACAAAGTAACCTACCAATTTGCAGCCTAGCTACTTTTCTGTCTCTCTCCTTTCTCCTTTCTTTTTCTCTTTATCTCCTTCCTTCCTCCTTCCTTTCTTGCTTCCTTCTTCTCTTTTTCTCTTTCTTCCTTCTCTCCCTCCCCTCTTCCTCCCTCTCTCTATCTCCCTCCCTCTCTCCCTCCCTCCCCTTCCTTCCTTCCTTCCTTCCTTCTCTCCCTTTCATTTATAGGCCTAATCTGTTTGTAAGAAAAACTTTTTCTTAGAAAAGAAAATACGGGATTTGGGGAAGACTGTTAAGAAAAGTGATTGTTTTTTACAAAACGAGGTTTTAGAATTGTTTTCAATACTCTTGTAAAGAAGCAATGACATGCTGTCTTATTGATTTTGCTAATAGGTAGAGAATGGTGATCACTTTTACCAACAAGGAAAGGCCACATCCAAATTCCAAACCAGAAGTTATTACCTAAGGTAAAAATAATAAGCCAAAAATTTTAAGGTCAAGTATTCTAGTATCAGTGCAGAAACTACATACTGTATTTAAGATACATGCATAAAATTTAGTAACTTTACCTGACTATGTATACTTCACTTGTTCCTGGCTCAAGGATCCCGGATTGTTGTAATTTTCTGTCTGACCTACATACCTTCCTTCTCTTACAAATTCTATCAGTGTCAGATTAGTTTTCCAAATATACCCTATGTTTTATTGCTCACATCCTTAAAAGTCTTCAGCAACCGCATAGTGTCTTCATAGTAAAACCCAGTTCTTACTTCCACACAGTTTTCCTGTCCTAGTCAATCTGGCATCCTTACTGTTCTTCCCGCATGCGTCCAACTCCTCCAATTTGTTTGTAATCCTCTTCGCTATGCCATTCCTTTTTCTCCATTCTGGCCACTTCCTCTGGAAATTTACCCTTCCACAAAAACTAGCTTGAGAAGTAAACTCACACTGTACTCATAGTCTTTCATAAAATTTTTTATTTTACTGCCTGCTTTTTGTGTTCTTTTATCCATTGCCTGTAACTGTCAAACCATAAGCTTCAAAAACATGCCTTACCCATCTCTGACATTTCTAAGTCACCTAAAAATGTTCACTGTAATCAGTAAATGTTCAGAAAAGACGCCTCATATAACTTGAATCCACATGAAGAGCAGACATAGTAGAAGTAGAAGATTGGATGGACTCAGACATTCTTCGCATGAACGGAAGTATATGAGGTCACATATTAGTTGTTTTCTTTGCCTGAACTTTGGATGTTCCTGCTGGGAGCATACCTGTCAAGGTGCTTGCCAGAAACACAGGCAGCTCCGTGGTGACAGGAGGAAATGGCAGTTTTGCTTGTTGCGTAGGAAGATTTGCTATGATCTCTCTGTCTCTCTTTTTTTCCTGGTAGAGTTTTGGTTTGACTTTTGTTCTTTGTGTCATTGATGAGCTGGATACTATAGGCTAGGGGATATTAATCTTCTGGAAACATTTTAATATTTAGAAAATTAGAGACTATGACATCTGTGTTTAGCTAGTTAAACGTAAATTCTTTTTTGAATTTTTTATTCTTTTCCAAAGCAACATATCTATATTTTCATAAAAAAAGATATGCAGAAATAAACTGCATATATTTTGGGATCAAAAATACTTAGGGATCATGATTTGTTAGAAGTCCATGTAACAGAATATTAAAATTTATTTTAACAAATAAAAAGCAATATAATAAACAGAAAAGACTTTTGGTGTCATAGAAAATTTCAGAAAAAAGCTAGAAATCTGAGATGGAAAGGTTTCTTAATGGTAGAAGTCTAGTAATATTTTATAATCTCATTTAATAGTATTTTCCCACTCATCAGTAATAACAGGAGAAGCTTGTAGTCTGGTTAAGATGTCATGTTTTCCCCTATCACTGGTAAACTCTGGAAGACCACACTAATTTGGAAGAGAAAAGTTATTGCTTATGCGTGATAAATCAGTTTAGGATATAATGCCTCTGAAACAAGATCTGCATTTTAGTTAGAGTTGACGAAGTAAATACCTCTTTCCAAATATAGCTGCATAACTCTTTCTCATCAACCCAGCTCTGAAAGAAAATATGTTTCCTCACGTGTACACGTTCACTGCCTTGACCATATTTTCAAAGAGTGAGATGCTGTGTATTGCAAAGAACTCTTAGAGGTCTCTGCTTCTCAGAGAGCTGGGACTACCTTTGCTGCCATGAAGATGCCTGACTTTTGGTAACAGTCTTTTGGAAGCTTAAATACCATCATCTGTAAAACAATAGTGTTGAGCTCATTTTATGATACTTTACCTTCAAAAGTGGAATGCTTTTTTAGGTCAGTTCAGTACTGTGAATCTGTCCTGCCTTCTATCTCAGTACTTGATTGCTGTAGTCAGGAGGTTCTTATATGTAAAATGTGCTTTTAGTAGTAATATTTTATAAAGCTGTTTTGGCCCACATGACAATTAACTATAGTCATTGAATGGCTCTTACTAGCCCTTGATAGTTCAAATTTTGCCAGCATTACAGCCCTTTCCTGTCCATGAATTAGAAATGAGTAGAAACCTGGATGGTCTAAAAGTCATTTTATATTTAGCTTTGGAATTTGTCTTCATAAATTCATTTGAATATTAGATGATTCACAAATTGATATCATACAATTAGCAGACTTTCTTGGAATGGATTCTGTTGTGTGCTCCTCTTCAGGTCTTTTTCTTTTTTGTTTTCTTTTTCTGTGGTTATAGGGCTTGACCTCAGTGCCTGGACTCTGTCCCTTAGGTTTTTGTTCAAGGCTAAGCTCTACCACTTTGAGCCACAGCTCCACATCTATTTTTTATGTGGCTAATTGGAGATAAGAGTCTCATGGACTTTCCTGCCTGGGCTGGCTTTGAACTGAAATCCTCAGATCTCAGCCTCCTGAGTACCTAGGATTACAGGCGTGAGCCACCAGTACCCAGCTTTTCAGTTTCTTTCTGACCCTTTCTGTATGCTAGGCATAAGCCACTGCTAGAGTATAGCAGCTGGGACAGAAGGGTCCAGTTTTGCTAGAGGAGGCCTGTTGATACTGGAGTTGCAGGCTTTTTGTATCTCTGATTGTAGGCAAATTGAAGTATTAAAGCAGGTCATAAGGAAGTACTTGAAGATGTTAAAAAAAATGTTGGCAAAGTAATCAAGAGTAGAGTGACTTCTCTTTGCCAACTTGTTAGCTTTGTAGTTGGATACATCATTTGGGTAAATAAGAGCTGACTGCAGACATTAGAAAGTATCTAAATTTCAGCAGATTCAGGTTTATGTATTATCTGAGTCAGGTTTGGATAGTAAAAACATGGTTTGTCCATTAATTTAGGGCTATTTTTGAAAGGCTTGTTCTACATATTTAGATATCTGGTTTCCTACTTAGATCATGTAATTAGTAACTGATTCTGATTTTTTTTACCATAATAACATTTTCCAGTATTTATTCCGCATGTTTATAGTTTAGTACTGGAAAAATTCTTCCCTGACATCTGTTCTGAATTAGTTCCCTTTTCCAGTTATATTTTCCTGTTTTATCAATCGTGGTAAGGAGAATAGAAAGTTGTATTTTAAAGATTTTTACTAAGTTTAGTCAAATTAAACCTCTTTTTTTTCTAATTTCTGAAAATTGTTTTTAAGTTTACTTGTTAAATCACCATTTTTCAAACAATAGAACTGGATAATATTAGAAATTTATTAACTCTAATTCTATAGTAATGACTTTTCGTGTGTGTGTGTGTGTGTGTGTGTGTGTGTGTGTGTGTGTGTGTGTACATATACAGTACTGGGGCTTGAACTCAGGGCCTCTCCCTGTCACTTGGCTTAATTACTACTCAAGTCTGGTTCTCTACCACTTGGGCCACAGCTCTACTACTGGCTTTTTTTTTTTTGGTTAAGTGGAGAGCAGAATATCATAGATTTGTCTGCCCAAGCTGCCTTTGAATCTCCATTCACAGTTCTGAGTAGTCAATATTACAGGTGTAGCACTGGTGCTAAACAGCCTTTCAGAGGGGCTCATGTTATCTCCAGATCTTTTAAAATGTCTTTTTGTTTTAGTTTTCTTGGGCCTGTGTATTTGGGGATGACTGTGCTTTGTGGTGAATTTATTGTGCCCTTAGAGCAGTTCTTCTTATAGAGTAGGCACTCCATAAACATTTGATGAATGAATAAGTCTGGTTTTCAGGAAGCTTTACTCAATATTCTTTTTGTTTTTTGTTTTGTTTTTTTTTCCCCAGTCTTAGGGCTTGAACTCAGGGCCTGAGCACTGTCCCTGAGCTTCTTTTTGCTCAAGGTTAGTACTCTACCACTTGAGCCACAGTGCCATTTCTGGCTTTTTCTGTTTATGTGGTACTGAGGATTTGAACCAAGGGCTTCAAGCATGCTAGGCAAGCACTCTACCACTAAGCTACATTCTCAGCCCTCAATATTCTTTTTTCTTTATCCTTATCAGCCTGTGATTTAATGAACTTTCTGAGAGTTTTACTTAGAAGATAGGCATAAGAGAGGCATAGAAAAGACCTATACATCAGCGTGCTTCTCTAACTTTACCATCTTTCACCATTGCAAGGAGTTTATGCTTTTGCAGTGAATTATACACTTTGTGACACCTGTGTTTGCATTCAACCAGTTCATATTTCTGAGGGAATTGTTACACTGCTTTTTGATTCAAACATTGAAGAACCTCTTGCTTAATTGCATTCATACATACATACATATATACATACATACATAATATATATCTTCCTTTTTTCCTTTGAGACTATGTAGCCCACTATGTTATGTAGCCCACACTGGCCTCAAATTCATGATTCTTTTGCCTCAGCCTCCTGAGTACAGAGGTATAATACCATGCCTTGGTATCTCTTTATTTTAATGTGACACTTTTTACAAGGTTGTATTCTCTCTTTTCCTTACTGTCTTTATGTATATACAGTCTGTTCATTAGTGCATATATTAATCTGTTTACTTCCATCTGTGACCATTGCTGTGCTTTCCAGCTCTAGATGCTGCTATGTAAGGCCTTGTTATTTAGTGTCTTTTCTATGGACCACCTATAGACTGAGGGGTCATAGACTGTAGACTATTAACTAGTTCCTTGAATTGTATTTACCTCAGTATTTAAATACTTAGTTTTCAAAAAGATAATCTGTTCACTAATCCAAATAACAGAACATTGAGTAATGAAAAATTTCCCTTCCACCTCTGCCCCCTATTAATGTATTTCCAAGCCAGTGTGCAAAATTCTATTTTCTATTCCTTCTTTTTAAATAAATAGAACATATATATATATATATATATATATATATATATATATATTATTCTACATTTTCCCTTGACAGTATCTTGGATTACTTTCCTTAAGAGCTTGGAAAAAATCCAAGATAGAATTCACTTAATAATGTATCTCAGAGATTTCTTTCACATTATTGAGTAAATATATCATCATTTCTTTTTCATTCAGCCCCA